TCTACTTCGTATTCATGTTATCTATTTGTTCAGTGTTTGAAACCTAAACTAATTTTCGTGCTTCATATATATGGCTGATATGTGAGTGTAAAAAACTGATTGCTGAATAACTCTCTCAATATTCATTGGATTGTCTTGAAACCATCACCAAAATATATGTAATCATTTCTTATAATAGGATTGAACATTTAATGTTAAAAATATGTATTTTACAGTGTTTGAACTTTAAACTAATTTTTCGTGCTTCATTTATGGCTGGTATTTGAGTGTAAAAAAACAGATTGTTGAATAACTCTCTCAATATTCATTGGATCTTCTTGAAACTTTCACCAAAATACTTGTAATCAATTTCTACAATTGGATTGTCTACTTTATATTAATGTCATCTTTTTTTCCAGTGTTTGAAACATATACTAATTTTTTGCGCTACATATATGGTTCTTATGTGAGTGTAAATAATTGATTGCTGAATAACTCTCTCAATATTCATTGGATCATCTTGAAACCATCACCAAAATACATGTATGTCTTTAAATACTTTTTTAACATAAAATAAATATTTTTTATGCTAAATATACTAGTTGTGTTTTAGTATTATATAATATGTAATTTTGATTATGATTAATTTTTATTTAGTGACCTGGGTTAGTTAATAAATTGTCTACATGGCTTGGTGATTAATTATATTAAGTTCATACTGATCACATGAAATTTGTAGGTTTTTTTAGCATTTCAAAATTGTTAATTTACATTCGAGTAAAATTTTTATTTAATATGAGAGATTATTACTATAGTAATATCATTGATAATCAATGGTAATATTCTAATAAGACTTCAAGGCACATGGAAGGGTACTTCTAAGACCAAAATGAACATGGTGAAAATGGTTGTGAATTGATCTAAGAAAAAAGAAAGAATTGGTTAATATTTTATAAGAATTATTCAATAAACGAGCATAATATACAATACCTCCCAATAGTTTAAAACAATCATTACTAGGGAATCGTACTGAAACAAAAAATCTTATAAGTACACTGTACACATTTTTTTTATTGACATTGAATTTCTACTTTTGATAATATTGAGTAATTTGATGAAGAATCACAATTATTGAATGGCTTGCGAAAATGTCATGATATGTATTATTTTTTTGAATTTAATTTTAGTTCATAAATTAATACAATTCACAAAATAATAAAAGAATTGTCAAGATATAGAAAATGATCTCAACTGTTAATATGCTATGTGCATTACAAATAATTTTAAAAAAATTTTTAATACGTTTTTTGTTTCATAGTCTATACTGTAAATTCTATGAATTGCTATAATGTAGCATGCTATTCCTGCTTACCTTTCAATTATTGTTAAAAACAGTAATGTTTTACTATTGGAAAAAATAATATTAAGAAAATCTTGTAGATTATTAAGCTGATAAATAACAGATAAGTTAAATATTATATAATTTATTCTAGGAATACTTTAATTTTTTTTATTTATTGTTTTGGGCTAAGAGATATACTTATAATATAAATATATCATAATATAATGTTTATAAGCTACGAGATATGCTAATATATAATATAATGTGTAATATTGCTATAGGTGTTAGCAATAGTTATATAAATATATATGTAATCTAATAATTATAATGTATATGAAATATTAGATTCATATTTTGTAAAAACATCATAATAAATCAAAATAATAGTTGTTAGGCGAGGTCGTTTTGCATTTCTAAGAATTGCCAGTAAGGACGATAACATCCTGGAGATTGTTGTTTTAAATGTGAAAACAATTCCAAGAACTAATCTAAATTGGAAGGTTGACGATTACAACAATAAGAGATTTTCTTGTATATAAGGGAGTCCGAAGACCAACAGGGGCAGATGTACCAGAGCTACGAAGACCTGAGCAACTTCACGACACTCAGCCACTTTTTGTATCAGTTACATGTATTTTATTTATATAGAATAGACATTATTGTATTTAAGAGTTGTAAATTTTGTTTTAATAACACCTTGGATCTGGATCTGATATTGGCACGCAACATTATTTACATTGTCAAAAAAGTAATAATAACTATATATTGGTTGTATACATGTTTAAAGTTTAATAAAAGGAAGTAATCAGTTAATAATTTAATATAATTGTTTATGAAAATCAGGATGACAAATTTTACAGTTAATAAATGTGATAAATATATTTAATAATTTTAATCATTACAATGTGTATAGTTTATAATCAATTTTATGATTAATTCTATATATTTAAATAATAATAAATATGACATTTTATAATATTTGTTTTTGTTCTTAATTTAATCTTAAACCAACCTATACTTAACTTGTTTGATAAAATAATAAATAATACTTATTCCAATTAATTTCAACACATTATGTTTTATAAATCAAGTGTTCACACAACATAATAAAATACAACATGGTTGTAGTGTTATTCTATTTGAATAATAGTTGACTAATATTTATTTGATATTTAAATAAAAATACAAATTTAAGGTTTTATCAACAGTTTTAAAATGATAAAAAAATGATTTTTTTTTTTTTTTGAAATTGTAAAATTTAAACAAAATATGATTTAATTTTTAATATAAATTAGTTAAAAGTGAATTAAAATTTAAGAAATTATCTTTAATGTCAAAAATACTTAATAAAAAAAGTTAATTAGATGTCAAGTTATTGAAAAATATTTTAGTCAGGAAATTACCATCGAATAGATTCCAAAATAAAATATGAAAGTCAGCTCTAATAATTAACAATAAATAATGCGTTCAAATTAAAATAATTAACCTACTTCATAGTTAGTTTAGAAGTTTTTACTGTTTTAAATAAGTCGATGGTTTTAAGTTTACAGAAGAATACTTCTCAAAAAATCATATAAAATTGTACTAATAAATTTAGTTATTCTTTAAAGTTATTAGGTTTAAAAACATGGTTTTTTTTTTTTTAATACACAATATAAATATAAATAACATTTCTAATGCATAAATAGTAGTGGTTTAGTGCATATATTATATTCTTATCATAAAGTGTACTTTATTGTTGGCAAATAAATTATTTTTTAAAAAGAACTTATTGTTATAGTTATAGTATTTTTTTAAATTAAATTATGTTTATAAACAAATATTGTACTTAATAAAGCACAATATATAAATGTTAGTGTATGTGTGTGTGTGTATACTTAAAGAATTAATTTTCATATTATTTAGAAAAAAATGCATTAGGACAATTAAAAAAAATTAAAAAATATAAAAATTACTTAACAGTTTTGGGTTAACAACCAAATAAATAAAACTTATGACCAAAATCATTTAATGATAATGTAAATATACTGCTGTATAAAAAAAACCTATTATAAATGACTAATTTATTAACTAACTACAATCATTATTTAATAATTTATTATTTTATTTTATTAATTACTATATTTCTCTAAATCATGATGGTCGCAAAAAACGTGCATGTGTTCAAAACTTTAATATTAATGTAGTACTTGAAACCGATCACCCTGTATATAATATACAATGGACTTAACGATATATTAATATTAAATCAAGGACATATTAATCAAACTTAAACATAACTTAATATTAAGTCTTATGAACAGCTAAATTACGAGAACGCTATACATTGATGAAACTGTTATATTGATTTTATTTATTTTGTATTTTTATACTACAGCACATTTGCTAATTATTATATTTTTGAGATTAGAATGTTAATGTTTTTGAATACCTGTGGGTGGGCCAATCTTTAGATTTTACCACAAACAAGTAATTTACACACTTTAAAACGAACATAAAATATATTAAAAGTTTGTATGCATAAAAATATAACTAATAACTAATTAATATATAGCATCCTTTTAATAAATAATTGAATGTGTTGTCTTTGTTTTGAAAATCCACGACATAAAAAATGTTTGTAGAAAATATTGATTATTAGAATGACAGGAACAACTAATGTATTTATATAGCGTCCTCAAGATATAATAATATATATCTTAATAATTAAATATAAGTTATTAAAATAAATCATATTTACTTTAATATAAATGCAATATATTTTGAAATTTAAGTAATGAAAAATACAAAATAATTTTCTACATTAATATAATAATAAATCACAAAAAAAAAAGTATTTAAATTTGTCACATGTGTTTGTACACATTTAAGTCTAAGGTGAGATGAAATATTATTCTACAGATTCAGGTGGAATCACATCCAATTTAGGTTTCTTACAATCGATAACGAGATCAGATTCCTCTTCTGCACCATCTGCGAGTGAACGTTTTTGGTAATGTTTGAATTTCACGATGATACAAGTCATGTTGTCACAGCCAACTCCAGCATTTGGTGTATCAGGAGCCAAACACACTTCAAATAACTATAGCAAAGAATTTATAATATCAACAAATGTATTTTAGATAATTAACCTTAAAGCTTAGACAATGAATACAGCTAATATATACTCTATTCTATTAAGTTGAAGTTGACCCACTACCTATACCGAGCTGCCTAAATAATCGAACCCATTCCAGTCGGTAAAAGATGTTTTGTGATTGGTTGCTGCCATTCATACAAGACGTTCAGATATATGTGCGAATGTGACCACTTTTCATTTGACTAGTGGGTCAACTTAAACTAAATAGAGTTATAAATATCTGAAATAAACATCACTAAACAGGTTTATCTTGAAAAAAAATTAAATTGAAATAAAAATTAATATTATTGTATTTTTTTTTTTTTTTTTTTTTTTGTTATTAAGAAAAAAAGACTTAAGTATTTGGGTGATTTTTAGTGTTTAACTTAATTGTTATTATTATAGGTTTTTATTTTATTATTTTTGTAAAAATAAGTAATAAAATGAACAAGAATGATATTTTTTCTTAAAACTCTGTTACACATTCTAGCATTCTTAAACACACTTAAGTATTTATTTAATTTAAATAATAACAGATATCTAAAACTAAAAATGAAAATTGTAATTTTATATTAGATTCCACAGTGATTATTATAATTTTATTTAGAATGAAAATTATAATAAAAAATTATTCATTCAATTATATTCATTAATTCATTATTGTTTTTTGTATAAGAAGTGTGAAGGAAGAAAAAGTCAAGGAAATTAAGAAAATATGTTTACATAATTTAGAAAACATTAAAAAATTGGTTCATTAAATGAATTTAAGTGCATATTGTATTATTATTAGTATTAGTAGTGGAATAACATGAAAATATCACAAATAAAAATCTAAATAAATAAATATTAACTAAATGAAAACTTGAGAAAACGTATTAAAGTAGGTTATTAGACAAATACACGATAAATATGTAACGAGTACAAAAGAGTATAAACAATAGAAGTCAGTCACCAAGAGATTCGACATTAATGTTGTCTTTAAATTTACAGTATGTGCATCAGTATCATGAATTTATTTGTATATATTTTGATCTAAACAATTAAGTGAAATGAATGTAAGAATTACTTCTTCACAAATTGATGATAATTTAATGTCTGGACAATGGATACGATTTAATATGAAATCAACCGCTTTCTGACTGCACAATGAATTCCAAATACCATCACATGCTAAGACTATGAAATCACCGTTATCTGGTTTCAAATCAATGGTTTGTACATCAGGTAGAGCAGTAATCATTTGCTTGGTATTTGGAAATAAACTATTTGTCTTGTACATATGATCGCCTGAAAATAATTGAAAATAATTTACATTTTTAATAAACTATAAAATAATCATTTTTTACCTAAAGCTCGAGACATATTGAGACCATGGTTGATTCGTCCATCATTTGAAACTCTTCCACCGGCAGCAAGAATCCTCTTTAACTCAGACTTATCTTTAGGTTTATGATCTTTTGACATTGCATGAGCTTTTCCATCAATAGACACCACACATCTTGAGTCCCCAGCATTGGCCACATAAAGCTTATTTTTTACTAATAATGCTACAACTGCTGTACAACCACTGTCTTTTCCAGCCTAAAAATATCAATAATTAATATTGTAACTATTATAATGTTATTAAAATCATTAACCTATAAGATATGCTAATAAAGGGGCTTTCTTGTCAATATACACAACTAAGTAAATTATTTTTTCATATACAATTGTATAAATTGTAATATTCTACTTTAAATTATTGCTTGATTAGGTGTTGAATAATACAAATTATGATTAATTTACTATATACCTACCTACATAATGAAACCAATGATTCTTAAATCTTAAATAAAATTTAAATTAATTATTTTTCTTGTGAATTTCTGTGTATGCTTAGTTAAATCTGACATTTTGTTCACAAATAAAATTGCTTGTAATAATGTAAAAAAATAAAAAAATAATATATTACCAATTCTGTTTCAACAAGTTTTTTTTCATCTATATCGCCATTATCTAAAAGAAATAAAAATAATAAATATCATTGATAAAAGTTAAAATCACAAAATTATAAGTACCTATTTAAGCAAATAATTATTTAAAATGTGTATCATATATGATCATTGATCAATACATTCAACAGACTGTTAACTTTGATAAATGATTCATCAACCCCGATATTAAAATTAGCATTTAAAAATGTTGTTTCTAATTTGATACAGTTTATTAAAAATGATTTACTATTCTTTTTTTGTATCAGATCATTGTAAATAACTTACAACATTTGACTAAAGTTAAATGGCATAGGTAGTTCAATGGATTATGTATTTTCTTATTCTTGGTGTATTTGAATCCAATAAAAACAAACAGTTAAATAATTATAAATTATAATTAATTAACCATATAGACATGCGTAGACCTCATTGGTAGGATACATGGAACAAAAAATTGTACCCCTTTACACTAAAATAAAAAAGTGTAGCAATAAATTATTATCATTAAAATATAAAATTTGTTAGTAAAATGTTTATAAAAGAAATATTAATATAATTTAGAAATTGTCAATAACTTATATGATAATTAATAAGTATCTATTTACGAGGCCATTTTAGATAATACAGTTACAAATTTATAAATGTTGAGTTCTTTAAAAAAAAAGAGGAATATAAATGGACCTATTTTTTATAGTATGAAGTATGCTGTAGTATATCTTGTTGGCTACTATGATAAACCATTAGGTACTGTCTACTAAGCTACTTATAAGTATATAAGATGAAAATGTTCTATTAAAATATGACTAGAAACCATAGCGTGCGCAGGGGATATGCAGGATATGTAGCTGCATACCCTAAACAAACACAGAGTTTCACACATACCAAAGACCATCTTTCAAATTAAAAGTGTTATATTTAATTTATGTTTATAATAATCTATTATACTAAATAAGTTTGTAATTATATATTAAATGTTTAATAATGATAAAAGGTTAAATACTTTGATGCTTGTAACTGGAGAACAAGAAATTGCTGTTAATTTAAATCCTGAAGACATCATTGATGATTTCAAAAACTCTACCCAACACAAAATGGTGTAATGATAAATTATAATTTTTATTATTCCCCCCCCTTCCCCTGTATACGCCATGACGCCAGTGGCAGCCTTCTGTATACCCTAGAAGAGGCCTGCACACACTTATGTTAGAATCCTTAGGTTTCAAAAACCTATACACAAATTAGAATGAGTTATTTTTTTTTTTTAGAAAAGCTTAAGACAATTTTCACAAAAATTATTAGTCTAATAAATATTTAAAAATTCTGATTTGTCAAAATGTTAGTAATTTCATAGGTTATAAAATATTTTAAAAGTACCTATCGGTATGTACTTGTTGATGACTAATTATAATTCATAAATGCGTTGTGATTAAAATAAACATACCAAAAAAATTTAGAATCCATGTTACAATTTTCTCCCCTGAATTAAAAAAAAAATATATAATATATTGTATGATTAAATATTTAATGTTTTATTTTATATCAGAATAAAATACAATTTATTATTATACTGTTTTGTTTTAAATGATTTTGGAGGTGAATATTAACTAATAGTTTGTATTCATGAATCATATCAATTAAAGTATAATAGCGGTGTTTACTTACCAGTTTCTTCTGTTTTGCCATTTTTCAATCGAAGAGTTCTCAGCCTTTTCAATACTGGTATTTCAATTAGACTGTCATCGAAATCCATGAAAGCCTTGACCAATGCTTTTTCATAATCACCTTTTTCGAACAGTTCGTTTTTAATCAGTGATGGCAACATCTCAACGGCATATTGCGCTACTTCAGCGCCACCGTGTCCATCAAAGACTCCAAAAAGTGACATATCATCATCAAAGTCCACTAAACAAACGTGAGCGTCCTACAGAGCAATTTTAAAACGAAAATGATTAAAGCGCCTATGAATATGCAATTTTAAAAGAATGTGTCTGTAACCCATTGAAATTAGGGAGGACCCGAGAGAGGCAAATGAACTCGTCCGACTTCCATCGACCACTGTTCGATCCACTTCTAAACAACCCTTATGCAATTACTCACTTCTTGTTTCTCGCGCCAGCCCTGCATCGAACTGGCACCACACATGAGTACGTCGTTTTCCATGTCCTCCGATTCTTTGTCAGTTTTCGGTTTGTTCAGGTACGAACCCATAATGACTGAGGTCGCACTCTCGTATCACTCGCTGACTTTTGCAACTCACGCGGCGTTCGAGTTCAAACCCACGACGACGACGAATGCAAAACGATGTGCAAAATAATGCGCAGATGAATAATGCTTTCGAGCGTCACGAAGTTTTGCGGGCGACGTACGTGTTGTGGTGCGATGAGTATCGATTGACGTGCTGTCAGGACGATCGTGGCGGAAGGCGACTGCGCGGCGTTCGGAGCAACGCCGACTAGTACGCGCCGACGGTGACCGGTGACGGCGGCGATAGATACGGAACGACCGACCTAATATTGTTTTGGTATTGTTGTGTTATATGACTAAATATTGTTATAGAATCAAATATAATGATTATAACATTAAATTGTCGTGACCAGATAGGTAAGAGAATGAGTATTGCGAATAATAGTTGTGAGCAGTACAATATTCATAACAGTAATACGACATAATATCTGTTGTTGTTGTTGTTGTTGTTGAAATATAACGATAAAATAATTCGTTATTTTAGTATGGCAATTTCATCATTTATTTGACATTATATTCTATTAATTGTAAAATATTTTTTATACTGTTTTTGACTTTTGTTACCGTCAAATTATCGTCACGAAATAGATTATGATATTTTTGTTATGGATAATATTACTGTTAATATTATAAATTATTATTATTGTTATCAAGTTTATCGCCTGATCGTTTATCAAATTGTTTTAATACGTGTTATCACGTCACTAACATTCTGAGAAGCACGAGAAAATTGTAAAAATTAATAATAATAATAATTATAATAACTACCGACAACCAAATATTATGACTTGGAATATTATTACTTTGAAATTTTAATATAACTTGTTGGTAAACTTTATCATAAGTTATGGAGAAATTAGAAACGTAATTGTTGTCTTTGAGCCACGGTGCTACTTTTGTTGTCTTCTTTATAAATGATAATCTTTGACAATAAAAATTTATTTTGAACTCATTTCGTTGTGAATTTACTTGGACATGGTCGTAATATTTTGGGAAATTTTGCCTCTTACCTTCAAAAAAAAAAAAAAAACAAAACAAAATAATTAGGTATGTCTCAGTGATCAGAATTTTATACGTTAAAAATGTTAAAATACAATGAAATACGTGCTCACATTGGTTATATAGGTATATATTAAACAAAAAATTCTTAAACATAACATTATAATTTTTCTAAAATATTCATTTTTATGGAAAATAAACTTTAGAAAACTCATAGTTATCGAAGTCTAATAATATATAAAAATATCTATGTATTTTATATTGTATTAGGTATCTATTTAAAATTAAAAAAAAATTCGATTATTGATTTAACTATATAAATAATAAAATATTATTGAAATCAGTGGCGTAGCCAGGGGACTGAGGGGGCTGTAGCCCTCAAATAAAAAAATATTATTGAACTTTGAACTAAGCTAAGCTTTTTTCTATCTGATGAACTTTTTTTTTTAGGTAAGCCATCAATGTGTAAAAATTGATCAGTCCCCCCCCCCCCCGAAAAAAGTCACTATTGAAATAAATATTTAGACACGAAGTATGTATGGTAAAAAGAATTATGAAGTCTACAATACGACTTAATATATAAATCATTAAATTACCATAAAGATGCGTGAAAGTTATTAATTTTAAAATTACATTTATTTATAATTTAAATTTTTTATGTTGATTTATTGATAGAATATATGTTGATATTCATAAAATTTTTGAAATATAAAGCCATTTAAATTTGATAAAATATACAACGTAGAGTTTGGATTTGAACTGCATGTACATACCTATGTAGGTAATAGATATATTATGAAACAAATTTGAGTCGAATTTGAGCATTCTAAGGAATATACCCATAAATAAATAAAGTTCCAAGTCTTGTAATAAATTAATATAAAATAAAATTAGATAAAGAAACCAAGACTATATTTAATTAACCAAGACCGTATTTAATATTTTGGTACCTAGGAATAAAATTATTTTTCCATCCTTCTATTATGATTTTACTCTCATTGATTTAAATTTTAATAGATTTAAAATTTTAGATTCCTAGCATCCCGCTTCTCGCTTCGATGAATGTATTAATTTTACGAAGGAGTTTATTTTAACGTTTAATAGTTTAATATGGGATTTATTATAAAATTGTTCATTTACAATTAAGAAATATCGACCATTTAAAGTCACTGTATTTTTTTATAAGAACTAAAAGCTATAATTTTAACTATTTTTTTTCAAAATCTTGAAAATTTATAATATGGTATTTTGTAGTTAAAAATATAAAAACCAATGCAGTAACTCATTCAACACGTTAATACAATACGATTCACAGGAAATTCCTCGAGGAGGTCTATGTACGCGAGGTCGCGAGGATATAGTCTCGACATCAACGATAATAATTATAATAATATTTTAATGTGGCCAAAATGGCAAAATAATAAATTTTTAACGTTAAAATAACAGAATATTATAATTATTAAAATTGTTTCTTTTTCTCTATAGACTATAAGGTAATATCTTTAAAATGTATGGAGAAGAAAATCTGAAAAAGATCAAATGGAAAGAATTACTGATTGGTTATGTGATAGCTATTTGACTGAAAAGTTCACTCTGAAGTCAATACGGCCAAATAGTATACGTGAAAAGCATTGTAATATTATTTAGTTACATTTTTACATAATTTTTTATAATACAAGACAGTATAGATACTTTTACTATTTATTCTTAATTTTTCTTATCTATTATGATTATATGAATAAATGTGTTTTGCAATAATATATTATAGGTATATCCAGAAATAAAACGGTAATGATAATTTCAGAAAGATATGGCAGAGGAAATGATAAAGATAATTATACCTTTTTTACGTTAAGTAATAACACTGTCAACTTCGACGAATAATATAAAAAATGTGTAGTATTATGAACTTCTAATAACGAGAGTGGCATTTACCACATAACAGTAGACAAACATTATTAAAAAAGGTAGGTAAGTATAAAATTTCCTCTCTGTTGTAGGTATTAGTAAATTGTATGTTATGTTTTTGATATTTCTATTAGGTATAAAGTATTTTGTTACTATTAATAATATAGTAGGATGGAATAATTTTTACCGAAAAAATTGTGTTTGAAAATATCATTTTGTGTAAATTTTAATAATATAGGTACGCAAGAGTTTCATGTCCCTATACGAATAATGTTTTTAAATTACAACAAAATAATGAAAATACTCCCATTAATAGTTTAAAATGTTAAACATATTATTTCGTCTAATTTTGAACATAAAATGTGTACAAAAAAATTAAGTTTAAATATTTTTTAAACTTTTTGGTTCCAATCTAAACTATTTTTCAACGTTGACTTCGTGGCTGGACATCGTTTGACAATGTATTTTGTGGCAATTATTTATACAAATAGAGGAACAAAAATTATTTTTCATTCGGGAGGGAAAATTTTTTTTTTACTTTTCAGCTACATACTGCATGAAATGTAAAATTTACTGAACTAAAACATATATACGTCATATTTTTAAATATTTAATATTATAAATAATTATATACCTTCTAGAATTTTAGCTACAAGAAATTTACTAAGTTTAGTAAAAAATAACTATTAAAATAATACTTTTTTAAATTCATTATAAGAAGATCCAAATATAATTTTACCTTTTTTTTATAAATTAAATGATATCTTTTACTCGTCTTCAACAAACCTACAAATTAAAAGATCAAGATATTATGGCTATTATTAACTATTATTAAGATTACCTATGTATTTTTAAATACTCGTTAACATTTTTAACTTCTGTGATCGAAAATGTTAGTACGTACTACGTACCTACAACTGTAGTATTCAAATGCTGTTCAAAATTGCAAAACGTGTTGAATAAATCAGGCTTTATTATTAGTTTAAAAATAATTTTAAATGTCCTATCACGATAGAACAATATGATTTAAATATACATTTTGAGTACTATCTAAGAGCCCTTGGCAATCATTGTAAAAAGGTATATTCCCACAGCTCCATGCCGGGTTATGTCATTTTTTAGCCCGTACCATTTGGGTCTGATTATAGTCGGGGTTTTATATTCATATTACTTTGGGATCCGTCCGGATTCCGGACAGTCGCTAGTCGGTGATCCGTTTCCATGGGCTGTACTCATGGGCGCCCATTGGGGGGGAGGGGCAAGACAGGGCACTTGCCCTCCCCTGGAAAAAATATTACCACAATATTACCTTATTACCGAGGCAAATTATTTGTTGAAATCACTTTTAAGATATGAAATAAATATAAAAATATACTCATTGTTATCGTATATTAACATCATAGATAGGTCGTATTCTGTAGTCTGTATAACCTATACGTAAAATTATTTATTGCAGATAATTTGTGGTAAATCTATAAAGATCACAATATAGGTACTACAAATATTTTAACCTAACGCAAACAAGGATACTTTCATTCAGGATGTCATTAATATGTTTGGAATAAAACGAAGAAATTTACAGTTCCTATTTACTGATACCGAATAATATACTTAATTATATTATTTAATTTCTATTTTTTTATATACTTATTAAAATTATTATTTATTTATTATATTAATACACTATATATTTATATATATATATACAAATAAAAATATAACATGCATGTATAGTGTATACATTTATATGTGAAAAATAACATTAAATCTTTATTATCTTACATTCGAACATTTTTTTATTTTGACTCCCCCTAAAATATTACCTATGGGTACCCATGGCTGTACTTGTCTTATTATTCATTGGTTATGATTAAAAGCATCGAAACCACGCATACCTATATCGTTGTTTTCGTTGTATTAAATTAATTTAAAATCATTCGAGGTATTAAAGATATTAATTAAATTAATTTTTAAATTGAAATTTAAACAATAGTATACTTTTATGCTTTTGTTTAGACACGTATAATATAATATAATACGTATATATCTTATGTAATTTGGAAAATTTAGTGCCTATATACCTTTGGATCCATTTGAAAGGTGCTTATAGTGCTTTTGTATCCACTATCCAGTACCTGTAGATTATCATTGTTCACACGTGTCAGAGCTAGTCCGATCTGAAGAAAATATGTCCGGGAACTAGGAAAAAGAATTGTCATGGACTATATGTTTTCGACCAGCAACTGGCTCGGATGACTGACCCAGACAAGTGTAGATGGTTGTATTTAAAATGTACTAGATAATATTTTATTCGTACCCGGACAGATACCAGCCCGGAGCAGTGGGAATAGGCCTTAATCAAGTGTATTAGACCAACAATGTTTCAGATTGTAGTTCAATGAGTTCGAGGTAAAAATTAATAACTAAAATAAATGGATTACGTTTGACTTACCGTACAATTTATAATAGTGTACTTTACTAGCTATAGATGGCGAGTAATAAAAGTTATAATTATAAATAACAAACAAACAGTTATGCTCTTATAAGTAGTGGGTATAAGTATGAAAAATTCTCAAACTAACTAGAAAAAAATTTTACATGTCATTGCAAGTATCTACTTTTGGCTTTCTAATCATATAGTAATAAGCATATT